AGGACATAAGGCGATCTGAGAAGTGACCTGAGAAATGAAAATGATGGTTGATTCGGGTTCTAGGCGATCAGAAAAGTGAATCTACGTAGTAAAACTGATGCAGCTTTTTTTACTTTGTAGTTATTTTTCTAACTGTGCGACTAGAAACTTTTCCATTTTTTTTTTTTTTTTTTTTTTTTTACCAATGCTTTATCTTGAACAGCAGTCGTTAGATAATTGGTTTCCACATTTTGGACCGTCCACTTGTACGATTCGGCCTTCGCGTAATTGCAATGCGTTACTGCTCGGGCTCTGTCTCTCAGTGTTTCCTCCTACGGCAAAGGTTTTGAGTTATTACTGTCATCGAATCAAGCCAAGTGCTTTATTCAGCACTTGAATTCACTTTGTTCATAGATCTGTTCACAACAGGCTTTGAGCATGCATTCATGGTAGTTCACCTTTGAATAATAGACTGAGATGAACAGTGTGGGAAGTACAGATACATTCATTTGAATGCTGTATGTCTTCACAAAATATTCGTCATTTTTGGAGAAATTAAACCTACCGTTTCTTAGGTTTTTAGAGTTCGAAGTTTTGGGAGCAAAGCGGAAGAGATCTGATCTTTTTTTTAAAAAAATTCCGTATGAGATTGCAAAGTTTCCAGATCATAACGATGAGGTTGGCATTGAGTTGCGCTCCAAGGCCAGCAATGTATCAACTGATGCGCGAACAAATTACACATGCGAATTTGTTTGGAATTCAACCTCATTCGACCGGTAATTTTTTAGTTTTTTTCCTTTTGCACTACAAATCTGCCTTCTTTTTCAATGATTTCAGAAAAACTGTGTTTTAGGATGCAGCGTGCGTTACGTTTGTTAGGCCAAGATGAGCAGTGCGTCTCGCAGTTCATCTATCACAAGTTGATGGGACATGATGTTGATGATATCGTTTTCAAAGTTCCGCTGCCGAAACGATTTAGCGCACCCGGCTTGCCGGAGCTCAATCACAGCCAAGTGCTTGCAGTCAAAACCGTCCTACAGCGACCACTCTCGCTTATTCAGGTTTTCTGTCATAAATTCTTTTTTTTGTTATAAATTCTTTCTTTAGATGTTCAAGATCTCTCATCGCATAATTTCAGGGACCACCCGGAACCGGTAAAACTGTCACCTCTGCTACAATTGTATATCATCTTGTGAAGCAGACAAATGGTCAGGTGCTCGTCTGCGCGCCCTCCAACGTTGCTGTTGACCATTTGGCGGAGAAGATACACCGCACTGGATTGAAGGTACATTTTTCGCAATCTAATCTGAATATAATAATAAAAGGACCGAAGCGTGTTACATTTGGGAAATAAAACTGCGACTAGTATAAATAAACGATATTGAACTTCTGGTAGATGTTTATATAATAGTTAAGGTCTGAAATGATTCTACTGCTCTCTCACTGGATAGGAATGGAAATGCACCGGGTCATTTTGGGATTATGTTCCTCGTTCACATGGAACTCAAAGATTTCAAACTCAGCCCTCAATTTTGCGTAGTACCCGCGTGAGGGTTCCTGGCGCGAAAATCGCTAAATTGGAAACCAAGAAAGCTGGGAGCTGACGAGCCCACATAATATATATCACATATTAGTTTTTAGATGAATTAACACGGGTAAATAATAACTGATAATGACTAACACCAGTGATACTAGTAAAACAAACATTTTTTAAAAAAAATATAAGTTATCATTTACGCTGGTAAATCAAGAAAATCAAGGGAGAGCATTTTCAAGATCGCTGAAACAGTCGGTCTGGGGATCACTGTGATGTTACTGAGATGTTCTCACATGTGATGTTCTCACATGCCAGACGCAGCTATACCAGGTCCTTCACTCTGAACTCTATCCCATCAATCAGAGTTAGCATGACGTTTTGAAATAGTTGGAAGTTATTGGATTTTTTTTTTTTGGGGGGGGGGGGGGGGGGGGGG